TCCTACTGTTGCCCTCAAAGATAATCTGTTTTTAATGATATCCGTAAATTTCTGTTATATAAACTTGTATTACACTAAAGTTTTGTGTAAAAATTTACACATTTCAATACAAGAAATAAAACAATTTTGTTGTTCAAACATGTTATTACATAAATAATAACATGAACATATCGTCGGTATACTGCGAATAGTATATAGATATTCTAGTTAAAGATTCATATATCTTTAATGATATTCTATCATTAGTTTGAACAAGTTGAGACACCTGGCTGATTAAACCTAAATTTAAGCTGGAAATGCTATCACTTACCTGGTTTTACCTGTAAATCTAAATAAATCAGTTACTCTTCAAATAACACACTTAGAACAAATATAATTATACCAAATATATTATTTTACAGTTCTATCATCAAAATAGCAGGGTTTTACTTGGTATCAGCAATGTTTTAAGGTATTAGTCGATATTTATGACATTTAACTGGTTTTCCCTGAAAATTTTATTAACAGCTATTTGTAGTTATACTTATTATTTATATGAATGAAAGGCAGTTTTATAGAAAAAACAAATTTATTTCGAATATAATAATAACATTTTTATAATCGTAACAATATTATTATTATGCGGATTCCTCGTCCGATTCGTCACTGAAAGCAGGCTCTGGCAAGACGTCTGTTACATCATTTCCTGTTCTCAAATTGCGATACCACCCATGATATTCCTCCGGTATCACTCCCTTATCACATAGCTGTACCAAATCTCTCTTTTTTGCTATGCTAATTGGCAAAGGTGCATCATAAAGTCGCTTAAGTTCTTCAAGCTTGCTTGTATTAGTTAACTTGGCGTGCTTTTTTCTTGTTGACTGCCGTCCAGTATCAGTAAGGAAATAATTGAAGCTTGTTGACATATCATAATTAAAATAAATTCTGTTTGTCTCTCCTTTCACGAATCTCATTCTTTTTATTTTTAACCACATTATTTTTTCGCCGTTTTGGTCTTTTGTCCGATTTTTAATTAAATTATGTGACAAATTTTTTAAATCATAAAAGTCGTGGTATTTAAATTCTTTACATTTGTATGGTTCGACACATACTTTTTTATCATCAACCTTGATATTTTTAGTTCCTCTTGCATTTTGAAAAACAGACAAGTAATCTGGCATTCCATAGATAGATCTGTGTTTTTTAGCGGTTTCGATACTACTGTGCATAGAGTCAACTTCCATATAGGAATGTCCAGACTCTAAAAATTTGTGTTCAATAATATTTAAATGCTCTATGTTTTGAACAGCCCATAATAGTAAGGCTGCAACATGCTGATTACGATTCTGTCCTCCGCAAGTATCAGAAAATAAACTTATTTCACTTACATATTCTGGCACACATTTTGATAAGTAGTGGAGTATAATGCTTCCTATTTCTGAACTTCCTCGTCTACCGTTAATTTCTGACCAGGCAAAACAGTATGCTGCATTTGGCAATGAGGCTTCATATACACACAAATTGTAGACGCATAATTTCCGGGAATAATATAGTTGTCCGGTCAATCCACTTGGAATCTGTAGTACGGCCTGTAGATCGAATGTAATTGAAACAAAATTCCGTTGTTCATTAGATCTTTTCTTATCATTTTGTTTTTCAAGATTGCATACTTCTTTTCTTTTCTGATGTTCTCTGTAACTGTTTTCTAAATCCGATTTGTCAGTTGGATTAGCCGTATCATATTTATTACAAACTAAACATTGATCTTTTTTAGGGACGAAAAAGCTTAAATTATAGTCGTTAGAAAATATTCTTCGGTATGTAATTTCGCTAACACCTTTCAGTTTCTTCTCCTCACAGTCATTTATATAAAGTTGGTACATTTTTCTTATACTCAAATCTTTGTCCAAATATCTACGCTTTGAACTTTGGCGAATATAATGTGGGGCCATGGTTGGGAAAGACTCAATATGAGCCTTCACGATTTTTCGGGATTCATGGCTTGTTTTATTTGGCGGTATATGCTGGCCTCTTTTATCCGTATCTGCATAAAAACCTAGAGTATCAGTTTTTCTTACAACATCTTGTATTAACGACGCTGATATACAAAGTGTCTTAGAAAAAAACTTCTCACATACCTGTATCTCTTGGCCATTCAAAGAAAAGTAACACTTTTTGGAAAATGCACGTGGTTTTTTTAAACTTTGACGAACTGCAACGACTCTCTTTGGTGGCTCCGTTTTAATACGTGCAATAAGAAAATTTTTCTGGCCTATATATTCTAAGCTCCAATAATCACGACATAGTCTTTGTCTGTAATCTTCGCTGAAATAACTGGCACATTTGTAAAAACACTCTGAACAATTAACAGGTTTTGGCAATTTTGCTGGTCTATTCTTTTTTTTTATCTCATAAGGTAAACCCTCAGCACGCCTCCTTTTTGCGACATTTATCATCCAATCTTTTGGGTTAGCTTTTCGCCAACGTTTTAGTGGACGTACATCTTTCCATACTTTGTCGAGAAGTAGATCTAATATCCAACTAGCTATTTCAGTTGACACTACATTGTTCGTGAGTGCTCCTATTTCAATAATTTCTTTCGTCTCATCATTTAGGCTATCAAGGTCAGCTGTTTGTAATTCAAATAGACTTACTAGAGAAAGTGATCCCTCTTCACTTGGCTGATATGTGGGGTCCGCATCTGAGAAGTCACTATCCAAAATTGATTCCATCATTGAGGCTATATTGTTCTGAGAATCATCAAGAATTGAACTGATATCTTCAGTTTCAACGGAATCTAAAAAAAAAACGATATTGCACAACAAGTAACTAATTGATACTTATTAATAAAAATAAAATATTTCAAAACTGTCTTCCTGGTCACAAATAGAAGATATTCAATATTATTTAATAGTCTGTTTAACTTTAGAATAATCTTTTAACTTTTTCCCTAATATAAACATGTGCATTTGTGAACACCCATATAACTATTTTTCTGTATTGATTTTTATGTATCGAGAACATGATTATGTATTGTTCAGATTATAATATGTATTTATATGTACAAAACGATCTCTCAAGAGAAATTTAAGATTTGTTCACATAATGTGGACACACGAAACTGATGAATATTATTGCTGATATTGCTTATTTTCGATAGCCCAACCAAATTGTCATCGTATAATAACAACTTCAGTTGTGCAAACAACATACGCCCAAACATTCATAAAAATAAGTAATTATTATTAAGTACAATACAAACATTAAACATGAAAGCAACAAGAATATAACGGTCAAACTTATTTCCAAACTCCCTATAAATAGGTAAGAAACAAAAATTTTTAATTCGAAATTCTCTGTAAATTTGTCACAATGTGTTATTTACTACCTAGAAGCAAAATGTCAACCAATTCAATTTGACTTTGTGAAGCACTGTATTATTTATTACTTTTATAATAAAATTGTATATAATATATTGTATATAATATATTTGTAAAATACTTACCATTAACGGCATTTTCGGATTGTTTGTTCACCATGGATAAAATTCTTTTAGCTCTTGAATTCATTGTTTCTTTGTTTTATAATTTTTAGTAACACAAAATCAAAACAGATAGGTAATACAGACTAAACTTTGTATAAACTATTTTCTACTAAGTTCAAGTTCAAAACCGTCTGTTAATATTATACATACAAACACGTATCTGCTGAATCCTCAAATAACTCTGCACAGCAGATATCAGCAGATAAAAATTATATCATAAACACCATTAAGATCATTTATGGTTTTAGCAGTCATCATTTCTAAATTTTCACTCAACCCGTTTTCAGGTAGAATCAAGTAAATGTATTTAAGAGTTTTTACTAGTCGATATGAATGAGAAATTTTATTAAATTATACATGTAAAATGTATTAAAGACATTTATCACCTTTTTACTGAATATGGTATGCAGTAGTAGAAACATGTTGTTGTCCGGGACAATCATATATGTGGGCTTACTTAGTTTTACATGCAACTGAACATCAATTTTATGGAAGTAAGTAGCAATATATTGTTTTACTGGAAAATGAAAAGTTGGTCAGGTGTAACTTATTTGTTTATTACACAAATTATCTGCTCAACGGTAAGTCGTATCATTTATTGGATTTTACCTGTGTGTAGAGCGCAAAAAGCTGAGAATTTTGGTATACTTAACTCAATTTTGTAAAATTTGTCATTTACCTGGTTTTCGCAGTATACCGACGATATGTACTTATTTTCCAAAAATTTAAAAATTTGACAAGATATTAAACAAAACCAAATAAAAAAATCATCAGAATCAGTAAGGGTACTGCGGATACTGAAAGCTGTGAAAGTACAAATTTATTGCATTTTATTAAATCAGCCCAAAATTTCTAAAGGGGAATTTATCATGAACTTAATTTACCTTTTTCCAGATAACAGTGCTTGATAAATTCCAGATAACAACTCAGAATCTGTGATGTTTTTGTTCGCTAAATATACTAAATACTTACTTCTAGATACCCATAATTTTTGCAATTTAAATTGGCCGAATTATTTATTTTTACTTTTTAACATACACTGTTTAACATCAAAGTAATATAACTATTGTTTAAGATTACTGAAGATAAAATTGTGACCACAAGCTGGATAGTATAAACAAAGACATAATCGCAACTCAGCAATAAGTACATGGCAACAGTAGGATATGTGCGTAAGATAACTTAGTGTTGCATTAATATTGATGACCAAAATGGGTAAATGATAAAATATAATGGTATGATATGTATGTTGTCTTAGTGTTGCATTATAAAATTTGGGCTAAAAGGAATTAAGCTACACAAGGATATGTAATGTTATGAAAAAAGTATATCACTTTTTATTTATCCTAGTGTTACACTCAACAGAAGGGTTTATTTCGAATCATTTGACATGAATATCACAAAAGTAATTTTTTTAACATATCCTACTGTTGCTTTGAGGCGACGGATATAGAGAAGACAAAATAAAACTTTAATATAAACTTAATAGAACTAAATCTTTTATTATCACAAGTCACACAGTATCACAAAGTAAGAGGTCTAATAAATTATAAACAAATTTAATCTAATCTCACAGCAAATGATGCTCCACATGAACAGCCCTGTTCTGCCAAAGGATTATTTACTATTTTAAAAGATGATCTAATTAATTCTTCATCATAATCTATGGTCGATCCTTTAATGTAATCCAGAGAAATAGTATCTACCACCACTGTCACACCATCCTTTTTAAAAATTTTATCTTCTGCTTCAATCTTTGTATCTAGGTCAAATTTGTATTGAAAGCCAGAACATCCTCCCCCTTCGACAGACACCCTTAAAACTTCGTTTGTGTCACTAGTAATTTTTTTGAGACGTTTTACACAGGAGTCTGTAATATTCAGATCTGCTTTAATATTTTCTAAAGGTTTAATATTGGGATTCATTTGTACATTTGATTTTACTTGACTACTATAGTACCTTCTTTGTACTAGTAATCTTCTTACCAAGCTTGGAAACATATTTATACTATAATTTGTTTACAATTTAAATTTAAAGTAATTTGTTTCTTAATATAGTAACTTTTAAACATGTTAACCTCACTTCTAGAAACGTCACTGTCACAATCACAAATTTGTCTATGATCACAAATCACAAGTTTCCATCAAGTCAACAGCACAGAATAATAAACAAATCGCTTATTATTCTGTGTCAACAGACAGAACGTCAGTGGTGGAGTGTTCATAGTTTTTGTCTATATTCTTTGGTTTTTATAACCCATTTATAACCCACAATATAATATATTTTCTAAATATATATTTACTATCAGTATAGTAAGGGAGTATAGTTTATTTGCTAGCTATGAAATTTAACATTAAAATTAAGGAAGAGTCTGTTGAATATTACCCAAGAAATATAGAGAGTCAACTATCCACGTCAATAGATCTTGGGTACTTGAAGAATGAACCAGAATGTAACTCAGGTAAGACAATTGAGAAAAATTGGTTCACTAAAAAATGTGATATTCCTATTTTTATTAGCTCGAACAGTAAAATCTTGTATTAAGGAAGAGTTTGTTGAAGGTGACCTAAGAATCCTAATACGGGCTTTACACCAACAATAAATTCATGAAGAAATTCGTGAAGTCGCTTCAAGGTCAAATTTGACCTGTGTAAAGCACAATTTGACATCCAATTTTGCCGTGAATAAATTCATGAAGAACATGTTCTATTTTTCCCATTTATTGGACGTGAATTCAGTATCACCAACCTGTGTAGATTTGGCGCGAAGTAGGTAAGGATAATAATTATTTTGTTTTTGATTATTGAACCAAATTGAACTTTGCATTTTTAAGTCGTGTGTCAAGTAATAATTTATTATGGAAAAGAGGTAAGTTTATTATTTTATAATAAAAGACAGAAAATAATATTATGTATTTTTTTTTAGGAAAAACATAAAATTTCGAGGCAGAAAAATTCTAGTTTTTATTAAAATATTGTTTACTTTTCCCTTTCTTACATGTTTTTTTTTAAATATTATTTATTTAACGCTTTGAGAATATATAGTAAATATTTGTTAATAAAAGATTATATAATTTCTGATTGAATCTATTGATTTCTGAAACAGGAAAGGATGTTTTTCTTTGAAATAACAAGTATTATAAGATTGCAAAATGAAAAGTATGGAATGATATAGTACCTAGGCTGTCACATTCCGCTCATGATTCTCAAAAAAAAAAAGAATTTAGAGATTTTAAATTCTGATAATTTGGTGATACTCCCTGGATATATTTTCTTTTTGAACCAGGTATGGATAATATTGTATTATTGATAGGAACCATAGGTATTGATAATATTGTATTATTGATAGGATTTTTAAATTAACTTTGCGTTGAGTCAACTCATCTATTTTTTTGAACCAGGTGTATGAATAATTTCTATATTATTGATTAGATTTTAAATTCACATTCAGAATGTCCACTAAAACAATTCACTAATACATCCTGAAATTTTGTGCAATGAATTCCAGATATGTAACAGAATGTGTATGGAAGAAGAAAGTTTCCAATTTTAGCCAATGAAAGTGGCTGTATAGTTGGAATGATTCAATTGAAAAATCAAAGTGGAGACAATTTTGAAGATGAATTGCTAAATAAAGACATTAATGAACTTCCTTAAGTTGAAGGTGTTTGAGAAACCCTATAAAATATTTTTGTGTTATGGGAAAAAACTTGGAAGCATCATTAATATACATAGAACTTTTTTTTATTTTTTATTAAATTTGTCTTTGTATAATTTAATTTTTAAACCTAATAAATCTATTTCTTTTCAATGCATGTCTTCACCAATTCCATTTCTCTGACATGTTACTGTTGTGCTCTATTTCTACATGAAGCCGTTATCCTGCTACTTATTTTGTTTTTTCTTATTCATTCTTCTTATTCTCATACATTATTATTCATAGTTTTCTTCTTAAATTGACTATCTTCCTTTAAAAGTGCAGGATTCCATATCCTACGGATAAAATCTGTACAGTTTTTATTTAGAAAAAAATCATAGTTGTTTGTGTAGAACAAATATTAAAACTAGCTTTTATTCCTGTTATTATGATTCTTCACTTATTATTTAAATTATATATTTAAAAATTATTGTTTTTATACACCTATTTAGTTTAGTCCTAACCTACCCCACTATTCAATAAAGCAAATTGTAATAAAGACAAATCATTAAAATTGTACAGAATCAGCTCACAAACTAGTGGTAAAGTATTACTGGTTATTTCCATGTTTTATTTATTTTAAGTATTCATTTCTCTACAATATCTCTTTGTGATTAGAATTGTACACATCTCAATATTCTTTCAACAATAAACATAGCTATTTATTTATATTAGGTAAATATCTCTTGAGAATATATTATGAATAGTGGTTAAAAGATTATAAAAAGTATTGTAGCTTTCTCTCTTCTTTACTTCTACTTAGTTGAGGCAGGTATTGTATTTAAATAAAACTTTCATCATTCTAAAAGTCACAAAGAATTGAATTTATACTAACTACAGTTAATTTTTAGTATGTAATGAATGCTAGATTTTCTTGTTCTTTCATGTAAAAAAAATCAAATTACCACTTTTTCTGTTCCTTTATCTATGTTGTCCTTATTAAAGTTATTTGAAATTATCTTCTATGTCTAAAATAAAAAGTTTTCACTAATTATAATGTAATTTCCACTTATTTTTACCTCTTGTTCAAGTTCTTACTCTTTACAGAATTCACGAATTCAGCTATATTTTTTGTACAATCTTAATCACTATTTTCTTTTTAAAACGATATTGTTTTCTGATTCTGATTATATATCCAAATATATATTATATTTATTCAAATAAACAACAATAAATAACATCCAATAATAAAACCATTGGTACTACTGAAATAATGACACTTGATGTAAAAATTTATTTGATGTCAAAGAAACTTTTACGTCCAAGAAATTCACGAATTTATTGACACAGAAATTGATGAATAAATTCATGAATTTCTTCGTGAATTTATTGTTGGTGTAAAGCCCGTAAATCCTAAGATATATTGGGAATCAACCATCCACCCCTCTTAATCTGGAATGCTTGAACAATGAGTCAGATGAATATAACGCTGGTAAGATAAATTATAAAACTATGTAAGTGGAAAATAGTTTTATAGCTTTCATTTATTTTAGTTACTTTTCAATGCATTTAAGAGATTTTTATGTGTCAGAGTGTGATTTTTTTTTGGTTCTGTTAAGCTATGGTCTGTTAGAACAGTGAGCGACGCATAACTCACAGTCAGTCGAACATCGCGCACGTTCGTCAAAATCAAAAGAATGGTTTTCTATGATAACGGTTTGTTAGGTTCTGCTGAGCTGAGCGCACTGCAGAGCAATAGCCGTGTACGTCGACGGTGTGCGCTCGAATCAACTGCGATTTGATGTAATAGTTATAATTAGGTGTATAATTAATAGTAATAATTAGGTGATGTCTTCTTTTGTAGGATTTTTTAGTAATATCATCCCTTACAATTTGTAAGAGTTTTAAATAAATCCCTGGAAAGTCTAAAATATTCTCAAAATGTTTCCTCGTTTTAAAACAATCTTCTTTCGACAAGCACCTTCTGTATTGCGACATGAAATAATTTCGTTTACATTTTTATTTCTTTTATTTAGATTTGACATTATCAACTCTTGTTCTTCCTTCTCTTCTTGGAGAATTAACATATTGCGTTAAGTTTGCGAGAAATCATTTTTCTAAATGTACAACCTTTAAGAGAACAAACTTGAAACTAATGTTTAAACTTCAGCATAACCGTTTAGATCTGCAGCCGTACACAAATTAAACGTAGCAACTATTCTGTTCTCAAAAACCGTGTCGCCATCTATGTTCGAGAGAGAAAATTACACTACGGTTAAATATAAAAGATTTCTTCTCTTCATATTACCTCCCCTTAATTCTCAACGTAAATATTGCTTCCCCACTTTAATTCCTAAATAAAATCATACATTCAAACTGTGCATTTTAAAATTTGTATTGTAATTTATTTGTGTCCTAGTCGATTTATTTTTTTGGTGAAAAATGAATTCTTCTAAAATTACAACGACACGTTGTGTGTATAAAAATTGTAATCTCTCGAGAAAAGATGGTGTGGTGTTATTTAAATTTCCTGTTAAAAATCTAGATACGGTCCGTCCCAAACCCTTTTTTTCAGTGCGTCATAGTTGATCGAATTCTCTCTAACGCATAAAGCTAGAAGTGACAGAAAAAGACGTGAGTCTGTGATTATTATACATAGAACATAGAAAATTATGTATCGTTCACGAGTATTTGCATATTAAAGCGAATTCTACTTACGGATGTATAATTGGTTGGAGTTTAGAATACGCTAAATAGATATCCAATCAATGATGCGCATAAATATAATTTGACGCAGATTATCTTGATTATGACAATACTTTCACAATGTCAACTGATAAAATGATAATTGTCATTCCAGGTTAGTATTTTCAGACATTTTACAGTGAAAATTTAATTTTGTATTTATTGTCATAAAAATATTTTAAATATGCCGAGATATACCGAGAAAGAACAAAGACTACATACCTATTTAAAAAAATAACCTTTTCACATTTAGTCGATTACGTTCCTGCAACTGTCAGATTTAACTAAAATGTCAAGCAATAATTTTAGACATTCTTAAAATCCTATATGACGTCACATTTAGTGACGCACTGAAAAAAGGGTTTGGGACGGACCGTAGGTGTAAAAAAGTGGATGGAGAATTGTGGAAATGAAAATGTGCGAACCTTTTTAACTGAAGACTTAAAACTATATCATATTTGTGAAAAGCATTTTCAATCTACATCTTTTTATGATGCAACAGTGAAATCTAAAAAACTAATAAAAAGTGCAGTTCCTTTTAAATACCTATCGAGTGGTAAGTATTTATTTTATGTATACTTTTTTGTTTTTGGCAAAAATCGCTTTCTTGTAAAATAATGATTTCTAACATAATTAATAAAATCTATTTTAATATCTTAGGCTATTGATTATATACTTTAGAAAGAAACTACAACGATCTAGGGGATTTATTGTTTCATATGGTCAATGGACCACAAGCAAAAAAAACACGAAAGAAAGAATTTTGTTTTTTGCCTTATAACTTTTTTCACGGAGATATAAATAAAGGTATTGATTAACATAAAAAATCTTTCATCCTTTCTCTTTAAAATGACATTTGGTCGAAATCTTTATGATTTATAGTTTTAGAAATATGATTTTTGAAAGATCGCCACTCACAGCATTTTTGGGCCATTTCCCTTATTATTTCGCAAACATTGTTCTGTAACTTTTTTCTACGAACCTTTAGGTAGATAGAATGGTACATTTTATAGGAAGAGAAGTTAATTACCGTTACGGTTGTATTCTATTGTACGAGGTTGTACGACTATTTTTAAGCAATTTATGGTTTTTCAAAGTTTATACTTTTAACGATTCTTGATATTTTTCACGATTATTTTTTTAAATTCGCATTATACTTTTTTTCTGGTACCTTTGAGTATATACCTGACTCAAAATTTTTTATTCAGCAATGTATATATG